TGTTGAAGTTACTTAGATAAAACCTTGCACTTTTTAAAGTCTTTTAATACTTGAACATTGAGGGCAACTGAACTTCAAGTTACTTTCACGCAAAGAATCGCTGGCTCAGTACCTGTTAGCGTTCAATTGAGTTGCCATTGCGTGGAATTTCGTGCAGAAACTCGAACTTTAGAGTGATGTTTCTGGACTTGAAATTCTACTCAAGCCGGAATAAAAGAGTTTTCCTCGGGTAAAAGGAAGCGCAATAAATACCGTCTATAAGTGACAAGACAAGACAAGATAATATTTTATTTGGGGTCTTTTACCACCTGGTACATCGACTGCTTTCCAAATAATTTAAAATTACAACCTTCTATGTGATATCATTTGTAAGACTCATTGAATTATCCTGCACAGGTATCTCGTTACACGCGGATCTCCGAGCAGCCAATCAGTGCCGCCGTGTTCACGTGACTATTGAGCTGCCATGGAGTGCTGACAAAGCTGTTCAACAACTGGGAAGATCACACCGGTCAAACCAGACAAGGTACATGCACTGCCAAAACATAAACATTCCTATCCCTTTGATATAAGCTATTTTCTAGAGAAGAAGCTAGAGTTGCTCGAGGCGTACACTACATCCATATCTCAATGGTTGCACGCTGCACGTTTACCATTTTTTAATTGTACCTTTGCTTGATTAGCCTTGTTGGAAGGGTACCATTCTGCCAAGCAGGTTTAAACCCGCCGTTCAAGCCCAACACCAACCAGGGTCTTCAAAAAACTGATAAGATCATGCTGGCCGTTATGTAAGATCTTGTCTCAGTATGGATGATCTGGTAATCACGTCAGTAGGCGGTGATGTTAATCCATTGGCCTTGTCTCATTCACTCTTCCCTGACAATTCGAAGGGGAGGTAAAAAGAACCCACCCTGCTATTCGTAAAGAGAGTGAGACGTAGACCTCTTTGGTGTGGTTTATCTCTCACGTGAAGGGGACTGTCACGGGGGCGCAATACTTGGCTTCTCACTTTTACGGTTACTCTGCCAGAAAATGGACAATCTAGTAAAAAAAGAATAAAATTTCTTGTGACTAAAATTCTGAAGGCTTTCCTCGACTATCACTACTTCCATAATAGCCTGTGTACAGCAACCTCCTCCCCTTAGGAAAAAACCGGGAAAGGGGAGGGGGTGGCTGTGCACAGAGTACTCTCATGATCACTTTTCCTTCGCCAAAATCCCTTTTGTACCATGGGAGTCAGAAGAGGGAGATATTACGTGATAATGTCCACCGTCTAATTGGCGCGCTTGGTAGCTCCCCTTTTTGCTCTAAATTTGACTTTGTTCATATATCTGGCTCTCAGAGTTTTACTCTAATGTTTTCGTTGTTTTTTTTAGTGGACCAATCTATAAACTTGTAACAACAAACTTGGGCGGGGAAAGAAGATTTGCTGCGGCTGTGGCTCGACGGCTTCAGTCGTTAGGTAATGTTTAAATGTTTGTCAAGCTCGGAAAATCGTAAACACCAGAAGTATTCTGAATTATTCTCACGGAGTTCCAAGAAAAAGTACTCGCAATAGGAGTCGAACCTTTTACCGTCTGGTTACTAGTCCAGATGCACTACCACTAAGATATTCTGCTAGCACTAGTTCTAGACATTCTAGCAGTATAATCAGTGTGAACAACCTGCATGTCATTTTGCTAGAGTGTCTAGAACTAGTCGTAGCAGAATATCTAGAACATTCTAGTCCTAGCAGTATGCTGGATGTTTGTCACGTAAACCTAGTTTAGTGACCTTAGCTCTCACGAGTCTCCTTTAGTACAGTGGTCCAGCATCTGGACTAGTAACCAGGACATAGGTTCTCTTTTGGTTTCCTATCCAAGAACATCAATCCATTCAACTAGACAGCCATGACAGAGCGCCTTTAAGTTTTTGTTTTGTTTGCCCGCAGGTGCACTTACCAAAGGTGACAGACGAGCAGCGACTGGGGCCGACTTAACGCAGTTTAATTTTGACACGCCTTACGGCCGATCTGCACTCAGGAACATGTACCAAGCCATTACTTTGGTATGTCAGATAGCCTGTTTCAGGATAAAAGATAATAGCGCAGTCCTGCAGTAAAAAGTGATGCGAAAAATGCGCGGGGGCTGGGGAAAGAGGGGGCGGTTGGGCGGTCTCTCTCCTATTTTTCCCGCCACTGCGCCTTCTCCAGATCGCGCGCGTGTTATTTTCGCGACGTCTCTACTATCTGAGAGCCTGGCACAAGCTATACCGCAAGCCCACCCAAATCCCCTTATAAAGATATATACGCTCAGGACTTTAACGTGAGATTTTACGGTACCGGTATGCCGGAAGTGGTAACGAATTAGAATTATGTGTGCTTGTTGCTTGCGTCATCTACGAGAAAACGTTTTTTATTTGAACGAGGAACTTTTTTGCCTTTTTTTTTTTT